AATTTGCCCGCGGTGTGACCTCACTTAATAGGTTGCTTATCAGGTTGAAATAGGTAGACTGGACAAACGATCACACACCCGATTATGGGGTTATGGGCGATTATGGAGGTCATCACCAATTTAAGCACCAACTTCCCGTAGTTAGGCAACTGTCATCTTGTTTTGGACAACGACATCATTACAATTGTCCCAGTGATCTGAAATACGACCTTCAATTCATGTCCCCGAGCAGGAACAAAGCCTTGGTTTTGCGTCCATACTGCACGATTGTCGTGCACACAGCTCGTGCCACCACGACAGTACCACCATTGCAGCAGTAAGCGAACATGACCCGATGTCAGGTAACACAACGTTACCCGACACTTCGTGAGCCTACGGTCACGGTCTTTGTGTGGACGAGTTGTCCGCAATCGGCAAACGTGGAAGTTGCGCGTATTCTTGAATTCGCACGTTAACTGCTTGTCGAAAGATTTCTTTAACAATTTGATTTTATTTGCAATTGCATATGGTCTTATTTTCAGGGACACTTTAACGATACACTGCCTACAACGGTATGGTAAGTTTTGAATGCATTTGAGGTTTAAACTTTCGAGTTTTTTTTATCGCAGTGTTGTTCACAAGCCTGCTGAGATAGAAATTGATGAACCCAAGGGTTTTTCGGAACGAAAACAATATATAATTTGTTGTCTTTTGTGTAATGTTTTAGTTCCATTGTTTGAAAACACTGCGTAGATGAAATTGAAAGCATCATTTACATCGAACTTATAGAAACTAAAACTTGGTTTCTAATCCACTATGTGCGGGATAAAATTGTTTTGACTTCTCCCTTGACGAAACTGAATAATTGGAGTGGCTCCTACAAATGTTTTAACAACTGTTTTTCAGACTACAGTGTCATGCAAGATTGACACGGCTCATACCGACATCATAGTGAGTTTTCTTCTTATATTTCGATCATTCTTCTTGCGTTTTCAAATAGGTTTTTCCCCATATGGAAAGGTTTCTCTCAATATGTATACTAGTACTTGGGTTATTCAAATTAAGGTGGTAATGACCCGCTAGGGGTTTTGTTCAACAAGGCTGAGGCCTTTCTACAGACAATTTGTAGATGATTTGTTGGTATCTATTACTTTTGAAAAGATATTCATAAAACAGAATACTTCAAAAATGTATTTGCTTCGAATGTCTGCATCCATTTTTGTACGGGTATCTGTAGACATGCTATTTCACATTCAGGTAGTTGAAGGTTTCCCATTGCTCCAGTTCCACTTCTATGGGAGCAGTCCCTTTAAATTTCTACGAAATATTTCAGAAAATATTGTCAGATCCACAATTTTAGCCTTCTGTTATATATTGATGACACAGCCTCATAGTGTCTTCCGTTCCCATATTCAGATGGCTTCAGCTGGCCGTTCCCACCACTCAGATGGTCTCGGGGATTCGTAATGTCCTTCCTGATTGTGTCCTTGTTTCTTACCTTGAGCAGCTGTGACTTGTCGCCTGCGGCTGCGTAGCGTACAGCAGCGTTCAGCGCTCGCCAGCGCCAGCGACTGTGAAAGTATAGGTACCGATCCAGTATACGCCAGCGATCATTAAGGTTTGGATCTCGATCTAGCGAACGCCAGCGTATTTTCGAGCAAATTGAGCTTGAGCACAACTGCCTGCGAAAAAGCTGCTGTACGCTGACGTTCGATAGATTGGTATGCGCACTTTCCTAGTCGCCGGCGGTGCCGTGCGCCGGCGCGGCTAGTTTCCAAAAAGGAATTTTCTCAAAGAAGCATAGAGTTCCAAAAAAATGACGGTCTCAATGTGTCGTAAATTGAGTATATTTATTTAGTGGAGCCTGTTGTTCTCATCTCATTTATCGGGAAATATTTTCGAAGCGAATAATTGGGGATGACATCAAAGCTGAATTTCTTATTACCTTTGTCCACTTTCTAATATGACCTTTGCAGCATGACGCTCAGCTAAACTATTACGGAAATCGCCTTGCTACTTGTTCCAGTGATCGAATCGTTAAAATTTTTGAGGTAAGTCTAATCCCTGTATAATCCATGTTCCTGAACTGTCTTCATGCTCATAAAACCTCAGTTTTGTTGTGAGTTGTCTAATTTTAGGTGAAATCAAATGGTTACATCGTGCCAGTAGCCGAACTCGCTGGCCACTCCGGACCTGTATGGCAAGTGTCGTGGGCACACCCTGACTTTGGTGGATTGTTAGCTTCGGCAGGTTACGACAGGTTCGTGATTTTTTTTCAACTTTATAGCATCAGTTGACACTATTCCCCCTAGGAGAGAATGAAGTGAGGTTTGGTACCAAGTCACATTCAGACTTACGGTTTCACTAGAGTTTTGGAGACAAACCCCTCTTGATTGCATAGTGTGGATAGTGGCGTCCAATTAACAACCTATAGTGGTTAACTGACTAATCAGGGCAGAAAGAAAAAGCAAAAAACCATACAAAACATCCTTCTCCTGACAGCTTCTCTGGAAGAGTTCTCCCGACCCAGTTTAAGCTAGAAAAGCAATAGTCTGCCAACACTTGTTGTTTCTTCATGTCCGACACTACCTAGCAAAGAAAAAAAAACGAAGAAAACGGTGTAAAAAGTGAACCTGTGACAGAAAATAGCCATAGATCTCTTGAGCGGAGCAACTAACGAGGCGTCAGACCAATCACTTATGAAGGTCGCAGCGCCTTCGCTAGTTACTCAAAAGCAAAAGCGGACAGTGGATAGACAGTCTTAGAGACAGAAGACCAGATTATTTGAGCAAAGAAACGTGCCTACAAATTCAGTGATATAGTAAGCGTTGACATTTTTACGGTGTTTGAAGCAGGGTTCGTTTTATACTACAATCTCTTTCACCAAATTATTTCGCTAAGCTTATTCTTTCCATGAAAATTACTGCATCTAACAGCACCTGCAAGTACAAAACTAGCTTGTTTTTTGGTGAGGATATCTCTGAAGGTACAGCTTATCTGATATAGAGCACCTTGGCTCCAACGCTTTCTTTACTTTCCTAAAAACACATAATCACTCCTAGTCGTCCTCTTTTCTTGGTGTGATGGATTCGGTCTCTTTAGAAGACAGTCTACATATTCTAAATGAAAGGTCATCAATAACAATATACCATCTGGCGACCTCGTCGGGACGCGAGTGGTCAGGTTGACGAGAGCTCGGGGCTTCATAGAGACGAGGGGGAGGTTTTATTCTTGTTCCTCTCTCAGCCCCACATAATAACGACCCATCTTATCTCTTCTACGCTGCAAAGGAGCGTGCATGCATTGGTTTTTTTCCGCACTGGTGGTAGCGCTTGTAATGCCCTTATAAACTCTTATATGGTTCGTGTCACCCACCAATAATGTTCCTGTCCTAAACACTATAACCATATCTTAGAATCAACACCTGATTGATCGACGTAACCGACGTAGGCGACGCAACTGGCACCAACCTTCCGAAGAGTGGATACATCGGTTACGTCAAATCGATACGTATTCAGTCTTCCGAAGGTTGTCGCCGGACGTCGGTTACCTCGCCGACGGCAACGTCGTCGCAACTATGAACGCAGTTCAATCAATATGGTGGTTCTCCCCTTATAACGCCTCTTAGCGGATCTTA